TCTGATTCATGAAGTATCAAATGTTTAGATGTCCATAATGTTTAACATTTTTCATAATAATTTAGCAGAAACTACTAATCTTAGAAGTCAAGTGAAGAAGAGGCCATAGCAGTTTATTCACTTACCATGCTTAGTGAAAGGTATTATTTTTAATGTTTTTGACTGATTCAGTATAATCAATTTAAGTACCAATTGGCAGCAGTGAAGGTGGGTAACACTGCTGCTTGAAAGTCTGGTTCTCCAGCCCAGCTGGAAAGGGAATGGAGACTCTTCCAGCTGTTTTTCAGACTTGTTTAAAGATTTTGTTTTGTTTTGTTTTGTTTTTCTTGGAGTTTCCAATGGAGATGCCAAGCTGGCAGCAAATGAAGTGTACTGTAATGTGAAGCCTTATAAATATGTGTTGCATTATGGCCATCATTATCAAAAGTACTGGTGCAGAAATGTGCAAAAGGAAGATTTTCAAATTAAGGTTGGCCTGTACATATAAATGTTAGCTTGTAAAGCTCAAGAAATACTAAACTGTAGTCCATTAGTCCCCTACATTTTATTGCCCTTTTTGGAATAATTGTGTACTTCAGAACATCCTTTAATCTGAGCTGGCTTGTGGTTGTTTGAGAATGTAGCTTCTTTTTTCTTTATCCTTTTTATACTTAGATGAGGAAAATGCACTGCATTTTATAGATAAATCAGAGCAAAAAAGCAATTTTCTTCCCACCTTTTTATCTTCATGGAGGCCCAGCTTTTAGGCACTTGAATGATGCATTTGTACTCGGTTCCACTGAAAAAATCTTCGAAGTCACTTTTTTTTTTTTTTTTGGCTTCTTGTAGAATGCACTATTTGCGATCATGGTAAAAAAGAACACTTTTCTTATGATAGTGAGGAGCAGACCTTTGTTTCAAAGTCTCAAAGTTTTTACTTCTACTTCATCACCTTATAGAAATTAAAGTGGATCCTTCTTTAAAATGATTATCACCTCTTTATTTAAATTAAGAAAGATTTAATTTATATTGAGACAGAGGATTCCTAAATATTAGTGCTGAATGTATTTGTCATGGTTTTACTGGGCAAAAACTTTGATTTGTATTGAGCGAGGCTTTCTTTGATATTTTAGCTTTACTATTAGATTAGCTTAGCTGGTGTGGTGGGACTGGAAACTAGTTAGGAGATTTCATACATTTCTCCATGCTTGCTATTTAATATAAACAAAGTGCTATTTGTAAATCAGGATAGAAGTTATCAATTGCAAGTATTGTGCCTTACTGGGAAATGTTTTATTTTAACATTTTAAAATTGTCTCATACCTATCAGATGATGGCTAACGTTTATAACTTTGATTTATATGGTCATCAGTTAGTTATAAAGTAAATGAATTAAACTTGGTAGGTAAGAATGATATAATATAGAGGAAAAGATTTGTCCTATTAAATTGAAAGTGTTTCCATTAACCAAATAGCTCATGTGAATTATTACACAAAAAAGATTAAACAACTGACTTTCAGCATGCGTAGAACAAAATTGGTATTTCAGCCATAGGTCATGTATTTTTACAAAATGTGTTAGCAAATTTTATTTTGGGTAATTAATGGTACATAATTTTAAATTATATGATATATAAACTTTTAAAGTTTTCAAATATTGTCCAATGTACTTTCTTTTCTATTTATAGACAAACTGATGTAGCAAAGGTAAATCTTTGATACTTTTTAGTACTAATTATGAAATATCTTTCCAAGTTCTTTTAGGAGGGCCTCAAAAGTTAAAAAGTAATGTAGGATAAACTAGTCACTGTAATCTCTGAGTGGCAGAGAAATAGCCCTTGTACTGCCTAACACCAACATCCTGCAATGGGGCTAAAATTCATCAAACACAGAAGCCTTTTCCTCTGAGACTGCTCTCAGAATCCCTTTAATAGGGCATTCTACACAGCCCCTTCTAGTCAATTGGAAACATCACAACAGAGAGTATCCATTTGCTAACCCAGGCCTAGACCATGGTGGCCAATACAATTTACATGACTTTATGTTGTTCCCATATGCTGTTTTAATATTGAAATATTTGAATTTTCAAACAATGTTTGTGCCAGGGAAACCCTACATATAACTTAAGGCTTCCTGCTTCTTGGGCAGAATAATTAGGAAGGGTAAAAATGCACTAGATCAAATTAAGATTCTCTATAGCCACCAGAGTACTCCATCTTTTATGTAATGATGCCCCTGGAATCAGTCTTCAGTATGATATCCAGTTATTAATTACCATTGTCTATGAGCCAGTATAAATATTAAGTGGCAAAAAGCATTACTGATATTAAGGCCTTGGAATATTAAGTTCCAGAAGCCTGCACCCTATTGTTGTAAAATGCAGTTACTGAGAGCCACATCTGGCATGCATCATAATCTGGAATGGCTTAGTTCTTATGCAGGACATCACATACTTTGGGGCAGTATTAAATCCTGTAGGTCATAAAGATGGTGGCTATGCCTATAAAACAGACTCAGAGGAAGAAGGATTTCAGTAGAAAAATTGCTTTGTTTGTCATGGGGCTACAATAATTATTCTTATCTTCAGGTGGATGGATGTGTGGGTGGATGTGAAAAGATAAATAGACACAGGTGGTACTTAAAGTGAAAAAAAAGGAAAAGACACAGAGTGTGTTCTTTCAGACCATATACAAAGAGCTGCTTATTTGCAGATACGCCATGACCAATCATAGGGGTCAGGGTGGGGGTAGGGGGCGGTTGAGAGCATAGAGGAAATGCTAGTCTATGCATATATTATCTCATTATAAAGGGATAGGATAGTCCTGTTGAAATGGAAACTAGGTGACACTTTTTCCTATCACTCTTTTGGCTACTTAAGCTTTGAGAAAGGTTTTCAATTTTGCAGGGAGAAAGTTTGGTATTTTGATATTTCATATTACATATGTATTCTTATTGGGAAGCCTAGAAATTATTGTGTCTTAGAGGGTTTTTTTTTTTTGTGTGTGTGTGTGTGTGTGTGTGTGTGTGTGTCTTTTTCCGTGTCCGGCAACGGATCGCAACCCTCAGTGTCGCCCCCGTACCGGACCGGGACCGGCAACGGGATCGCAGCCCTTGGCGTTGCTCCTGCGCCTCGCTCAGCCAGTGAGCGGGAACCGGTCTGTATGTGGGATCCGAACCCTCGGCGGGAGCGCCGCCACACTTCCCAAGTGGCACACTATAGCAGTGCGCCACCGGGCCGGCCCCTAGAGGGGTTTTTAAACTCAGATCTGAGTAACTCCAAAAAGCTCAAATTACTTTTTGTCTGCCTCTTAAAAGACACAGTGTCAGGGTATGAAAATGTCTTTTTCCCCCATTATGATGTTTCTCTAAAATTTGATTTGTCTGAGTTATATTACCCCGTCCCCCAGCATTTTTCAGTGTTACAGTTAGTAATAAGATAGTGTTTTATATATGTGTAAACTTTCCCATTTAGGGAAAGCAAGCCAAGTTAATCTTACTTATGGCATCTGGAAAATCAGGAAAGCAGCATAGCACAGTAGGCACCAGCAGGTGCTCTAGAAGCAGACTGCTGGGACTGGAATCCTGGCTTGACCTATTCCTAGGTATGGAGCCTTGGAAATATTCTCCAAGTCCCAGTTTTCTGTTCTCTAATAGTAAGAATATAATATGCACTTATTACATATATATGGTATATATAACAGTATATCTTATATATGCTTATTGTAAGAATAAATGAGAGAAGACATAAAAATTTTGCACAGTGCCTGCAACCTAATCAGAACTCAAAACTAGCTGTTATTAACTTGCATGCATTTATAAACTAAAGGCTTTACTTTTTTCTTCTAGCAACATGCAAAGATTTCTCTTGTTTTGTTGGACCCTTTTGACTGTATAACTTCAGTTCAAGGTATAAAGAAATGGGATAGTTATCAGTTCTTTTAGACAAGTCTCCTAGAGGCCAATAGAATAATTTCAGGCCGTGGTGTTGCTCTGCTGCATTAACTTCCCTGCAGGCCAACTGTGGGTAGACATGCATCTTTCTATTGGTACGTTGGTTGTTGAAAAAGCTGGGATATATTTCACGCACCATAAAGTGCACAATTTGGTGGATTTTGGTATATTTACAAGGTTGTACGACCATCACTACTACCTAATTCCATTACTCAGAAAGAAACCTCATATCCCTTAGCAATCACTCCCCATTCCCCACATTCCCCAGCCCTTAGCAGCAGCTAATCTACTTTCTGTTTCTATGGATTTACCTATTCTAGATTTTTCACATAAATAGAGTCATACAATATGTGACCGTTTGTGACTGGCTTCTTTCATCATTTTAATGTTTGAGGGTTTATTCATGTTGTATCATATATCAGAACTTCATTTCTTTTTAAGGCTGAATAATATTCCATTGTATGGATATACCACATTTTGTTTATTCATTCATCAGTTGATAGAGATACATTGTTTTACAGTTTTGTTTTTAGGGAAATCTTTGAAAGTAAACTGCCCTCGTCAGAATATGTATTATGTATTTATATTCTTTTTCTTTCTTTTTTTTTTTTGTCTTTTTCGTGACCGGTAAGGGGATTGCAACCCTTGGTGTGCTGTCACCCACACTGCGCTCAGCCAGTGAGCGCACCGGCCATTCCCATATAGGATCCGAACCTGCGGGTGGGAGCGTCGCTGCGCTCCCAGCGCTGCAGTCTCCCTAGTGCGCCATGGGCTCGGCCCTTTATATTCTTTTTCTTCTGAGGCAAATTATTGTTGACTTTTTAAGGGGAAGTTTTGTAGGCTTTGGATCAAAAAATGCAATCCAAGGTTTGTTTATTTATTTATTTTCGTGGCTGGCCAGTGCGGGGATCCAAACCCATGACCTTGGTGTTATAAGGCTGTGCTCTAACCAACTGAGCTAACTGGCCAGCCCAATGTGAATTTTATTTTAGAGAGGGTGAAATAGTGTTCTTTCATTCAAGCCAAGTTGTTTTGTATTTTAACTCTAAAGCTTTTCTGAACTTTTCTAGGGAAAAAGAGGAGCAACTAACTCGTGTGACTGAAGTTCAGAAGTTGCAGGCCCAGCAGGCAGATGCTGCTCTGGAAGAGTTTAAGCGACAGGTGGAACTGAACTCAGAAAAAGTCTATGCTGAAATGAAAGAGCAGGTAGGGAGGCAGCCATACCATCCTTTTTGAAAGTCACTATCTCAGTAGGAAGGTACATTCTCATCTTAAATATGACAGAAAGATTTCACTTAAAAAAAAAAAAAACTTTATCAAAATTACCCATACAATTGGGTCAGAGATTCAAAATGTGAAAGAGTTATTACCACTTGATGCATCCTTAAAGCAAGGGCAGAATGAGATCATTTGAAAGTTCCTTCTACAAATGTAGCAATGGCACGAATGTATCTCCCCTTCAGAGGATGGATCAGAGTATAAGAAAAATGCCATTACTGATCAGTTTCTGTAGAGCAAGGGTTCAAGTTAACCATGTCTGTGTTTTTTGTGTTCCATAAATAATGTTTTATTGATCAGTTATAGCAAATTATTTTCAACTGGCATTTCAGTAGGACACAGGCTGTCTCCAGTTCTTATACAGGACAAGTGGTAGTTTTTAGTTTTGAGAGAAAATTAAAAATTTGTTAAAAAATAAAAGGAATTAAGGTATCCATCATGAAGAATCAATAATTGTTAACACTCTGTTTTACATTACAAGTGAAGTTTTAGTTTGCTTTGTTATTTATGTCTAAGCACATTATTCTCTCCTCTGTACCTTTGAGAAAACCATTATAATTAATTTAGGGTTTATTATTTCCAGTCTATTTTATACTTTTATATGCACATATAATGTACACATATATATAACATGCATATATATTTTATAGGCTTAAATAATAGTTTTGTTTTTCTAAACAAAATGGTATAAATACTAACAGATTTTATGTATTATTATTGTTTGCCCTTTTATATTTAATATTACATATCTGTGCTCCAACCATGTTTAGTATAATCCTTTTAGCGCTAAATATATTTTATCGTATGAATATCATATTTTATTTATCATCTTCCCTATTCATGTATATTTAGTTTCTTTTCAAGTTTTCCTGATTAGAAAGAATGCAATACTTGGTGGTGATTTTGTTTTCAATTGGAGGCATCTTCCTTAAGAGTCCAAAGCACACACTGGGTGGTAGAAATGTCTCTAAGAAAGATTTCATGTTTGAATCTGACTGAGCCCTGTAGAGTTTACTGTTTGGAACTGTGTTTATTTTTGCTATTATTTTCTCAATTCTGATTTTCACTCATACCTATTTGTGTGCATTTGGTCCCTGAGAGTGGGGTCTGAGATCTCATTCTTTCTGTTTTCCACTCACTACCCGAGGCAAAAGCTGGATTCCTGCTGAGAGTTTGTACTGGAAAGCAGAGACTGAAAGTCTCTGCTATGTGGATGTGCATCTCTTTCCAGCTCCCTGCTATGATCAGGGCCCAGGCCGTAGCATGTATATCTGTTCCAAATATTCAATGGAACTGCATAGGAAGCTCTCTGATATACTTAAAATAAAAAAAAAATAGAGAAAATATTGAAGAAGAAGGACCCAAGCAAGAATTTTTAAGTATATTGTTAAGAATCTTAGGCTAAAAATTAGGTGTTTGAAAGTGCTAAGGCCAACAGTACAACTTTCTGAGAAAAAGCAACTATGACAGTCACCTTTGACTCAGTAAATGTACTTCTTGGGGCTGATAACATAATATTAACAGATCACAGAATTCATGGGTAAGTAAGGAGAGAAAAACAAGCAAACAACATGGGACCTGTGGAAACACTCTGTAGAACAAGGAAAAGGCTTTTGCATCTAGCACTCACAGAATAAAAGCATATTTCTGAAAACGGTCTACTGTAGAATTCAGAAAAAAAAAATTCTGAATCGTACCTTTATAAGAGGCCACATATCAAGTAAAATTAATACAATGGAACCTGCATACATCCTGGAAAAATATTGAATCTCAAGAGTAAAATGAATATCCTGCAAGTTTCTAGGCAGGATGACACTGGCAAATAAATTAGAAAAAATGATGAAATAATGCACAGTTTAGAAAATGCTGTGACTCAATTTTACACGTGACCAACGGGTTTTACAAAAACAATAAAAAACTTTCCTTGTGTATAAGAGCTTACGTAATATATACTACTTATTTCTTTTCTGGGAAAAGTTATACGAACACATTAACCAATCCAGAGATGAAGTGGAAGACTTCCCATACCTGGGGAAACCATCATATAAAAAGATGAGGAAAGAACACTGGAATCCAACACAGTAGAAACAAATTTAAATATTTTTTACAAATCAGATTATAAAATAGAATGCTAATGTTAGTTGATTCTTGGGAAAGAAGGCATATAAAGTAGAAAATACAAATTTAATAACTCCTTTAATCTAAATCCCTAAATTACATTAACAAAGATAAGTAGGTGGATAGTGAGAACGCTGGAGGAGCAAAGTATGCTAAAACTCTTTGTCATGAATACATGAGACTTGTAAGATTCTTAAAATTAGGGAAATGTGGGTTAAAATAATTTAGAAATATATAAACACAGGCATGAATAAAAGTAACAAGATATACATTCTCATAAAAATCTTGAGAAGATAACAAAACTTGAGAGGAGATACTGCCAAAGGAACAGAAACAGAAACACAACAAAATTCCCCAAATAAGACAGTTTATCATTGTAATAATAAACATTAATAGGTTAAATTTTTCTAGTAAAAAAGGTATTGATTAGCAGACTTAAATCCATGAATATGCAGTTTATAAAAGACACAACTAAAATAATGTTCCGTAAAAATTATATTAAAAGGATGATGAATATATGTCACATATTCAGATAAAAAGAAAGAAGGACTGTAATACTATAATACAAATTAGAATCAGTAAAAGTCAGTAAATTGGACAAAGGGACATACTTTTGCATGCTAAAGGCAAGAGTACTCAATTCAAATTTGAAAACATGTTAGGGATACACAAAGAAATTGACAGATAGTCATGGGATGCATTAATTTATTTTTCTCCCTCTTTGACAGATCAGGGGGACAAAAACCAAACATATAGGAGGTCTAAATAACAGTTTATATAACAGCTATATTTCTACTTCCTACTATTTAGTGGCAGCACATTAAATCCTTACTTTCACGGAACAGTTACAAAACTTGGTAGACCATAAAGAAACCCTCAATATAGCTGCAAAACTTGACATGTCAGAGAACACATATTTTTACCACAATGCAGCAAACTAGAAATTACATTTCAGTTAAAATTGCTTCATTAGATTTCACCAAAATTAAAAACTTGCTCTTTGAAAGACACTATTAAAAAACAACAAAGGGAAATAAGGCAAGCCGAAGAATCATTGAAAAGATTCACAATACATATATTTATAAGAATTTGCATCCAAAATATAAAAGAAATTTTACAACTCAATAAGACAAATAACCCAATTAAAAATAGGCAAAAAGACTGGAACAGACACCTGACAGGAAACTATATGCAAATGACAAATAAGCACATAAAAAAATGCTCAATATCATCATCATTCATCAGGGAAATGCATATTAAAAGCAAACTAAGATTCTAGAATACTTTCTTGTGAATGGTTAAAATGATGACGATTGATTGACAATACCAAGTGCTGGCAAAGATGTTGTGTAACTAAAGCTCTCATACACTGCTGGTAGGTATGTAAAATAGTACATGTGTCCTTGAAAAACTGCCAATTTTCTTAAAAAGTGAAACATAAAATGACCATATGTCAGTCATATCATTCCGATGTATTAACCAAGAGAAATAAAGACATGCCTAGACAGAGACGTGTGCGTAAGTATTGACCCAGCAGCTTTATTCACAAAAGCCCAAAACTTGAGCAATCCAAATGTACCTCAGAAAGTGAAAGGATAAACAAGATGTGGAATACATAGTGGAATACTACTCAGCAGTAAAAAGGAATAAACTACTGATACCCACAACATGGGTGAATCTCAAAATCCTGCTTGGTAAAAGAATATAAAAACAGAAGAGTAAATACTGGAAGTAATCTCTGAGGCCACTGTTAGTATAATGGTGAGTTTTTTATTTTTGCAGACTATCAGCCCAGTTTGTTTCAGAGCAAAAGTCTTGTCTCATCTTCTGTGGGCGGGTGCCAGTTTCAGTTAAGCTTCAAAGCCTTTGCTTGGGAGTGTTTGTACTCGTGCCACTCAGGGGTGACTCTGAGGCTTGGGTGGTGATTTAAATCACCCCACCCAGTGACTGCAGGCACTCATGAAACATTGTCCAGGATAGACCATATGCTTGGCCACAAGACATCTCAGTAAATTTAAAAGGATTAAAATCATACAAAGTATGTTCTTTGACCCCAATGGTAGTAAATTAGAAATAAACAACAGAAGGAAATCTGGGACATCTTCACATTCTTGGAAATTAAACACCACTTTTAAATAACTCATGTGTCAAAAGAAATTAGAAAATATTTTGAACTGAATTAAAATAAAAATATGGCATGTCAAAATTTATGGAATGCAGCTAAAGCAGTGTTTAGAGAAAAATTTATAGCTTTAAACACCTGTATTCAAAAAGAAAGTTTTCAAATCAGTGACCAATACTTCAGCTCAAGAAACCAGGAAAAGAAAAGCAAGCTTCTGTCTAAGCAAGCAGAAGAAAAGAAATAATAAAGATTAGAGGAGAAAGCAAAGGTTTGAATACAGAAATGTAGAGAAAATCAGTGAAGCCAGAAATTGGTTCTGTGAAAAGATCAACAAAATTGACAAACTTTAGCTTGACTGACCAAACAAACCAAGTGAAGAGATACAAATTAACAAGTTAGGAATGAGGAGAGGATGCCACTATCAATGCTATAGAAAATGAAAAGATTATAAGGTGATGTTACTAAAAATTTTATACCAACAAATTATACAATTTAGATGAAGTGGACAAATTCTAGAAAGATACAAATTACCAAAACTGTCTCAAGAAGAGATAGAAAGTTTGAATTGAACTATAGTAAGGTAATGTAATACCAATTAAAAATCTTCTCATAAAGAAAAGTCCAGGACCAGATGGCTCCACCAATAAATTACATAAAATATTTACAGAAAATATAATTTTAACTCCTT